CTACTGAGTATTCATACTACATTATTTCTCTACTTTGAAAATTTCTAGATTTGGTTCACTTAAGAAAAAAAAACATATTGTGGCTGAACTTGAACAAGCAAGCTTTTGGCACTTAACTGAAGTGATGTCCTGTCCTAGACTACCCTCCAAGTCCGAATCCACTGATAACAATGCATTCCATGACACCTGCCTTGACTAAAAGAAAATGTAACACACATATTTCTTCTAAATTTATTTATTTTATGTCTGTAACAGATTCCTTCATTTCCGTTGTAAATCAGCAAGGCCAACCTTGAAATAGGTGAAGTTTTCTTTGGCGTTTTCTCTTTTCCTCTATGCCTCTTTGTGGCTCCAATTTCCCCCAAGCAACTAAGCCATGTTTCATTTTCAATGGGCTTTGTTCTCAATTATCTACCATATTTGGAAATGCTGTGATGAATTAAATTCTTTACTGTGGCTTTACTCATAATTGCTTCAGGTGTTACTCTTCTCAGGCATATTTGCATTTTAATAGAGGGCTCTTAAAGAATGAAAAGTCCTTCAAGGCTCAAAAGGAATGTAGCTTTAATTGGAGACACTATAGGCATTGTGGAAAGTAGTAGGTGACATATTTGAATCAGAGTAGAGTCTTTTGGGGTGTTTTCATCCATCATATGGGTAATATTACACTTAACCTGTTTTTAAAGATCATAGGATCAGAAACCCAAAGCTGGAAGTAACCTCAGCAATAATCTAATTCAGTCTGTTGATTTTATAGACTGGAATTGAGGTATAATGAGTTTGAGTCACTTGCACAAGGATGAGTATCAGAGACAGGACTTGAACCTAGGTCCTCTGAATCCAAAGCTAATTCTCTTTTCACTATACCACAATGCCTCCTCCAGATTGTCATATATGTTCGTATACATTTTATTTACATCTGAATTCATAACATCATCTAAGTCTGTTTGACTCATTCATACAGCACAGCCACATCTATGAAGGTATTCAGTTGGCTCATGCCATATATGTCAGTTATCGGTTAGCATTTATTAAGCACTTACTATGTGTCAGATTCTCTTCTAAGTTCTGGAGATACAAAGAAAGGCAAAAAAAATTTCAATTTAATTTCAATGCAATTAAATATCCTTGAATAATTACCTATAGCATGCCTAGGATTTAATAACTGCATTTTCCTGTCCTTTTGCATTTTTTAGTCAATCTAAAGTAGATGGACAGCAGAAATAAAATATGCTCTAAAAAATAGAGACCATCCATGCCAAAGTGGAGATGTGCAAGTGTTGGCCTGAGAAAATCTACATTACATTTGTAGTTTCATGTACAGTCATCTTTTTTTTCTACTGTGTTATGGAAATGTTTGTTTAATTTCATAAATTAAAAATAAAATTAAATTTAAAAAAAGCAATATAGTGCATAAGGGAGTGACTGGAATGACAGAGACTCTTCTCAGTGTGATGTCCCAGTTCCCTATATAGTTGCAAGTAGAGATTATTGACACTTTCATTAGGTGCAAGCTGAGAGACCCCAAAAGGAAATAACTTTGGTTTAAAAAGAATTGATGTTCCTTTTAGAATCCAAAAAAGATATTACTGCCTGTGGCAGGGCCCCCTCATTTTGATTTTAACTACTATTTCTAGACTAGAGTATTCATTATTTGCCTCCATGCATACATGTATGCAGAAAGAAAATCTCACATGTTTTTTTTCTCCTCTAGAAAGAACTGACCAATGAATTGATCTCTTTAGGTGTTATGTAAATATATCACTTATTTACTTTGGTCTGGATCCATAATTTCATCAGTGTGGAGAATTCCCAGTGTGGAAATTGACTCCACAGACACACATCAGTAACTCATCTGGAACATATAGCTGTGCAGAGTTGCCTTGGGCATTAAGAGTTTAAGTGACATAGAAAAGTGTGTAAGAGGGGCAGCTAGATGGTACAGTGGATAGAGCCCTAAACCTGGAGTCAGGAGGATCTGAATTTAAATTCAGCCTCAGATACTTACTAGCTGTGTGACCCTGGGCAAGTTACTTAACCCTGATTGCCTAAAAAAAAAAAAAGCATACAACAGAGGGAAAACTTGAACTCAGATCTTCCTGACTCCTAGACCAGCACTCTGTCTACAATGCCAGACTGCCTTTCATAGTACAACTGTAAAGTCACATTCACTAATACTACAACCATGTGTCAAAAACAATAATTCATTTGATCAAAGAAGTCTAAGCTCATCCTTATTTTAGGAAACTCTATTATGTTTTGTGATATCACACTAATAAGGTAAAAGGACTTTATTTTTTCCTGACAAAGCCCCTTGCAATGGAAAGCAACTGTAATATTCATTTTGAAATTTGATAGTACTCTCTTGTGTGAGTTTTAGGAATATTTGAAACCCATTGCATATAAATTATATTATGGAAAAGCTGTATAAATATTCTATTATGGCACATGCTGTTCTAAGGATCTGTCAGGATTTCCTTTATACACTCCATTTTGAGTGGTATATAAATCAGATGTAAAAATTCATGTTGGACTGAAACTCAGCACAGAAAGCCTCCTCCAGAGGCAAATGCTTTTTTCAAAATGTGGTTTGAATTATATTGGTCATTTTTAAGTTATAGAAGTGCAGAAAATGTATTTGTGGGTTTGAGAGGAAGGGCTTTTTTTCCCATTTTTATAACTCATTAGGAAACTTTACAGGCCTTCAGACCATTTTGTGGTTTAGGATTCAGGTTTTTCCCTAAAGTGATATTAGGACTTGAATGGTATCTGCTATAATTCAATGATGGCTCTTCTGAAAAATTTCTCTTGCTCTCTTTCTCTCTCTCTCTCTCTCAACATGCATGTATATATGGCTGAATGTTTATGTATATGTACATATTCATGTGTGTGTTATGTGTATGTATATATGTATGTGTATGCATGTATTTTTATCCTAGGCATGCTCATTCATTCCTTAGGCAAAATTTCAATTAGTAGCATTACTTTATAGTTTTCTTCATTGAGAAAAATAGAAATAGGTTAAATCTGACATGCCTTTTCTTTGTTTTTGGCATCAAGTCAAGTTTGTTAAGATAGGGAACTTTCTATCTGTACCAGATTACAGCGTATAATGCATATACTTTCAAAACCACATTTTAATCTTACATAATAATCCACTTGGTAAAATGGTACTGTTTTTAGCCCTCAGAACTGTTTCCAAAGTCCTGTTTTTCTGAAAATTAGAAAGTTGTGAGATGCTAAACAGATATCAATTAATGAGGATCTCATTAAGTGTCTCAAATATATGCAGTTATAATGCCGAAGATATGTATTATAAATTTTTAATAATGATATTGTCGATGTTTTAAGAATTCCATAAACAAAAATTTCTTAAGTGGGTGGGTAATCAAATCTTATGGCAAATAGACAATCATCTTAGCATACATAGATGTTATAACTCTACTTTTATATATTTACAGGGAACTTTACAATGCAGATTTGAGGGAACTTTATTCAGACTTAACACAGCTGAGTACAGAGCACAAGCCCTAACAAACTTAAGGGAGAAAACACTAATACTTCACTGTTGCAACTATTTTAAAATAATAGACCATTAATTTTAAAAAATTACTAACAATGTATTATATGTATATAGCACTTTCTGTTTTTCAGTGTGTCACTTACATTATGTGAACAGATCTTCAAAAACTGGAAAACTAGATGACAGAGAGGTTGTGATTCGTCACTGTTAACACAATTTTAGTGATAGAGCTGAAACTAGAGCCTGGATTTTTTTTAACCAAGTACAATGCTTTTTCCATAGCACAATTTTCAGCATGGTTTGAAGGCACTCTCTTCTCCCCTCTGCCAGTCCCCCATTAGGAACTGGCAGAATGGACAACCCCAGAAAACAATCAGACTAGTGATTTATGGAACAATAGTTTTATTTTTTATGTGGGGGCTTTTCTAGCTGGAGCTGAGGAGTAGCAGCAGTAAACTAACCTTTCCTTTAAAAAGATGATCTGGTAGCCTGGTACCATGAGAATTTAATTCATTTATGGTATGGAGGTAATAAAAACCAAACATTCTTTATTAAAATTGTAAATGGGTTTTCAAGTTTACCAAAACTGTTAACAGTTCCCAAACACAAGCCAGTATATCTAAATTGCTTAGCTCTTGTTTACAATTTCTTTAAGGATGTAATTACCATGACAACTTATTGCACTTTAGTATGTAAGTACTATAATGACTTGCTTGATCACAGTCAAAATTCTTAAATACTTCTACTCATCACCTCATTGTGTCTTTATCACTTTATTATTGTAATCTTAGCTCTCACAGTATGACTAATCAGGGACATCACTCAAAAGTTCCTTATAAATGAACTAAAAAAAGTCAGAAAATTTGTCAGTTTCAAGTATTATAAGCTATATTATAAAATCAAGGAGGTAATAATAGAATATTTTTCCAGTTAGGAAACCAAGTAGTATTCACTTTTTGAAGCAGTCTTTTTTCATTCATTTAAGCTTCAGAGTACACTTTTAGGCACATTGACTGTAAATCAACGGACTTATAACTTCATACATCATTTTTACGTGTGAAGGAGTTAAGCTTTGTATTAGAGAGCAGAGGGGAGCACCTATAATTTCCCACTGTACATTGAATTAGTCACTGGTGGCACTGTGAGATGTGAAGGGATTAAAAATATTTGGTGCTCTCTCTTGCTTTAGACTACTTCAAAAAACTGCATCAATTAACAAACAGTGCACATGCTCAACTTCCTGCCCATCCTCTATCATACACCTACATACTTTTCCTTATGATTTAGAAGAAGTATACTGTATTAAGTAATAAGACTGTTTAAATAAAATGAATGTTATTAAAGTCAAGTACGGTTTTAAATACATATCATGCAGTATAGTGTAAAGTACAATGACTGTTTCTTTTAACAAGTGAAATATGTATGACATGAAATATTCAAGCTTCTCAAGACTAAAAACTATAAGATGTAACCTCACCTTGATTTTACCTTTAAGCAGCCTCTTAGCTGTCTGTTAGTTATTACTTCCCGTGATTTTTCAGGCTCTTCCTCCCTTTCCTTCTTTTGACAGACCAACGTATAGTTTCCGCCATTATTGTTTGACCAAAATGTGCCAATAGAGGTTTCGTAGCGTATACAAAATTCAATCCTAGTGCCATCTTTTTGATAAGGAGGAACCAGTGAAATATTAAAGGAGAATTGATCAGTTTCCCCATCACAAGAATTAGGGATATACTCGGCTAAAATGTCATAATGTGACTGCCAGTTATCTAAGGACATTCTAACATATACTAACTTCTCAAAAGAAACATTCAAAACTCGGATAATGCCCTTCATAGTTGTAGCCCCAGTTAGGAACTCCATCGACTCCAGGATTGCCTTCTGAACCTGCAACTCCTGCATCAGCACTTCTTTTGAGGAAGGCAAATCAAACAGTGGAGATAAAATATATTCCTCTGTGTGGAAAACGTCATCCCTTAAGTCAAAATGTGATGATGCTCCTGGTAACTCCCAACAGTCAAATTCTTTAACAGATACAAGATTGAATCCAAAGGTATCAGCAAATGAAACTCTTCGTGAACCTGAAGAAGGATTATCCACGTATGGATAATCTGATTCAGAAGAATCAGAGCCTCGTCGCCTTGGGAGAGGGGAGAAGTGGGGCTTGAAGGCATCTTTAATTTCTTCATCTTCAGAAAGGGAATTAGACAAACTAGGAACTTCTAAAAAGTTATCCTTGTTAATCTGTACAGTTTCTTCAGAAGGCTCCATTGGGTTCTCTGATATAAACCAAGGGAGAACTGGACAACTAGTAGCAACTGATATTTGAGATACTGAGATTTAAAACAAGGATAATGTTACAGTTGACATTGCAGAAGGGAGTCAGACCTAAATATAGAAGCACTGGCATGTAAACTATGCTGGCCAGCTTTCCGAAGGCCTTTAATTTGATCACATCAATGTTACTCTGTCCAGGGTAAGCTTCACATTTAATCCTCACTTTAAAAAATTATGTATTCATCTATGAGTGAACCCCCCAAGTGGCATTTTGAAATCTGAATCTGCTTTGTCAGAAGCTTGAAAATGTGTCATTTGAACCAATTTCCATTAGAGATGAAGCTTTTCATGTTTGTTGATGTTTAGTTTTGTTCCTTACTATACTCATTCGTGTCTTGGATGAAATCAGTGCACCTTTTTGGCATACATAGGGGCCAGATGATCCCCTTCCTCTGCTACACCCCGTTGTAAATTAGGCACCAATCTGAACCAATTCAATAAGCCTTTATTAAATTGCTGTTATGTGCAAGGCACTGGGGCTACAAACACATTTTTTAAAAAGTCATAGGATGATCCATTTAGAGCTGAATGGAACTCCAAAGTCACCTCATCCAAACACTTCATTTTATAGATATGGAAACTGAGGCCCTGGGATGTAGAGAGATTTTCCCAAGGTCACACAGGGAGTAAGCATCAGAGGTGGTACTTGAACACCAAGTCCCCATGCTCTGTCCACTGTACCAAGACTGTTCTTTCTAAGAGCTTCTATTTTACTGAGAGAATGCATTAAGCAAACAAGTAAGAACGTACATGAGGAGTGAAAGGAAATTAACAAGGAAGAGAGTCAGAAAAGGCTTTCCACATTTGGAAGTTACTATTAAGTCTTTTGGGGTACATACATAGGTATTATTAGTTACTAAGTGCCGCTATAGTTTCCAGATGACCTACCTTGTGCCTGGGGAGAATCTGCTTGAACCTGTTACTTTTTTTTGTTTTTGAAATTATTTAGTTTCTTTTAATTAATCTGTAGGAAAATGCACAAAAATGCCATAAACTACTAGGCTTCAACATATTAAAGAGGTTCATTCGTACGATGAACTTGACCCTGAAAGGGATCAAGTACACAGCTGATTTCTGATTGCACAGCCATCTTGCCAGTCACCCAGTCGTCCTCAATCCTTCATTCTCCATTCTCACCCTCAGTGCCCAGTCAGCAGTAAACTCTTGTCAGTTCCAACTCTGCTACATCATTAGTATTCATCCTCTTCTCTCCAGTCACCCAGCCACCACTCTAATTCAAGCCCTTAGCACTTAACATTTGAATTATGGCAACCACCACTTAAGTGGTTTTTCTGCTTCCATTTTATCCTTTATCCATTTCATCTTCCACAAATTTGCCTTCAGCATAGGTCTACGTCACTCTCCCTGTTAAATAATCTTCAGTGGCTCCCAGCTGCCTATGGAAGAAATACAAACTCCTCAGTTTGGCATTTAAAGCCCTCTGCAATCTGGTTTCTGCCTTTCCAGGCTTCTTTTACATTACTTCTCTTATTACACTCCTCTCGTACTACTCCACATTTCGGTCAAATCGATATAATTTTTATTCTCTGAGCTCAGCATGCAACTTGCCATCTCTATGCCTAGATTGTAATACCTCCTTACATCTGCTTCCTAAGATATTTAACATCTTTCAAGACTCAATTCTGGTGCTGCCTCCTGCAGGAAGTCTTTTCTGATCACTCTTGTGGTTAATATTCTTTCTTCTTCAAAATATCTTATTTATTTGTGCAAATTTTGTATCTCCCAGTAGAATATAAACTCAATGAAGGCACTGTCTGTTCCATATTCCTAGAACCTTGTCCGTAGTAGTTGTTAAGTAAATACTTATTGAATTGAATTCATGTCTTTCATATATCCCCCACACAACAAGACTAGGGATATTACTCTGTGTGACCAATAAAATACTGGATGAGAGGTTGTCATGGTGCCATACAAGTGCTTATTCTTGCCCTACCTCATACATATAACACACCACAGAGAGGCATTCCGTTGAAACCTTAGTGCCTATGACCAGCTATTATCCAAGGTATCTGAAGTATATAGTGATATAAGGAAGGTAAAGGAATTAGAAAAGAATGTCCAGAAGCAATTGATTACAACTCTCATGGCTCACAAGTTATAAAATAATGAGGACTGGTGGAGAAATCTGTCTGCTTTAGGTCACCGAGTCCACTCTGAGCCATATTGTTGAAGGCATGCCTCAGTACCGTATAAGCACTTCCAATTTGTTCCATTTTAAACATTTCAAAGGATAAAAATGCTGCCACAAAGAACATAATACATCTCAACATTCAAAAATGCCCCTGCTATTTGCCCTAAACTTTCTGTTCTTAATTTTATCTCTTTACAAAGTACTACTCCCCTTGATTCATGGTAATCACTGTCTCTCTTTGGAGTTTATAACCTTCACTTAATTGTAGACAGTTGTCATGTTCCTCCTTAGTCACCACTTAGCAAAAGCATAGAGATTTCATCTTTTTTAATCTTTTCTCACATGTCAATCCCTCCAGTGCTTTTTATCATTTTGTTACTCCTCTCTGAACTCCTTCCAGTTTGCCTATATTTTTTCTGTTAATGAGGTGCCCGCAGATGAATGCAATATTTTAGAATAAGTCTCTCTGGGGTTGTAGAGAGAAGCACAATCAACCCACAGCCCCATGACATGGTGTTTTTCTGTGAGCCATCCAAATTCACATTGTCTTGTTTCTTTTCAGTAACAGAGAGGAAACTAACATCCAAGTTTTTTTTCATATCTACTATCACCTCTGCTTTAAAAACAAAACAAAACAAAACATGATTCCTTCCTAGGTTTTTTCCTTTTCAGCTAACATAATGCATTATATTGTCAGCCACTTTATGAGATAAAATCTCACCTTATTTTATTCTATTCGGTTTTTAAAAAATCTTTTGGAATAGTCAGAGGCCCTTAAAGGTTCATATAAAGGAACATATGAAACAAAAGATTTAATATTTAAATATAAAATATATACTCATGTGAATGTACAAGTACATATTACTTACATATGTATGTCTAGAAATACTTATTTGTAAATGACAGATACATTTCTATTGTCTAACCCCTTCATTCCACAGGCTCACCATTTTTTTTTAATTATAAGAACTAAAATCTGTGGAGTATGTACCAATTGAAGCCCTGGGTAGGATTGAATTTATCAGCTAAGAAAGAGATCTTTTCTTTTTTGTCCTTAATCATGGAATCATAAAATCTTGGAGTTGGAAGAGATTTTACAGGTTTAAAGTTCCTTAAAAAGTCAGTGTTCCTAAATTATGTTGTTTAGCTTTAAACCAATTAGAATGATTATTTTCAAGCATTAGTCACACTTAAGGTATGAAATATCTCCACCCACTTACATCAGCATTCATATTGAGGATTAATCATATGATGTTTGAAAATACTCAGATCTCTTGAAAAAAGATATTATATAAAAATATAGTGTCAAAGTATTTTTAAGCTAGAAGGGACCTTATAAGACAATAGTTTCATTTTCATGAGAAAACTGGGACCCAAAAAGGTTATTGCTTGTGCAAGGTCATATATCTAGTAAGTGCCTTCTTGTTCTCATTAGGCATGGATATAAGTTAAAATAAATCACCTTATTATCTCATGTACCAACAGCCATCATTAGCTGTTTATATTAAACTCACCATTACATGGAGTGTAATTTGACTTTTGGAGTCACAGGGTAACAGATTTGAGGGAAGGAATTCTAAGGTAAGAAAAGAAAAGGTAAGGATAGAGAAAATCTTATCATGTTTGTAGGTGGAAGGGAAGGAGCTAGTGAAAATAGAGAGATAAACATTCCAGAGAAAGAACAGATAATCAATAAATCAGTTAAGCATTTATTAAGTGCTTCCTCCTCCTCCTCCTACTACAACTACAACTATTACTAACTCAGTGTTTGGGAGGCTCCAAAGGAAAAAGTAGGAAAGAAGAGATATTGGATTCCATACCAAACTGAAGGTCTACGTAGCCCTTGTGCTGACTTCACTGTTTTATGCCTTTGAAACCTATACAATATACCAGTGCCAGGAAGTTGTATCACTTCCATTTGAATTGTCTTAGGAAGATTCTGAAGATCATCTGGTAAGATAAGGTACCAGACCACATCACACCTATCAGATTGGCCAACATGACATGATAAATGTTGGAGAAGATGTGTGAAAATTGGAATGCTAATACGTTGTTGGTGGAGTTGTGAAATGATCTAACCATTTTGGAGAACCAATTTGGAACTATGCCCAAAGGGCTACAAAAATGTGCATACCCTTTGATCCAGCAAGAGCACTTCTAGGGCTATATCCCAAAGAGATCAAACAAATGGGAAAAGGACCCACATGTACAAAAATATTCATAGCAGCTCTTTTTGTGGTGGCAAAGAATTGGAAATTGAGAGGATGCCCATCAATTGGGGAATGGCTGAGCAAGTTGTGGTATGTGAATGTAATGGAATCCTATTGTGCTATAAGAAATGATGAACAGGCTGACTTCAGAAAAACCTGGAAAGACTTATATGGTCTGATGCTGAGTGAAGTGAGCAGAACCAAGAGGGCTTTGTACACAATAACAGCCACGTTATGCAATGACTAAGATTGTTAAACTGAACCCTTCTCAGCATTACGAGGATCTAAGACATCTCCAGAGGCCTTGGGATGGAAAATGCTGTTCATATCCAAAGAAAGAACTATGGAAGTCGAATCGCTATCACTTATTTTTACCTTCTGTTGAGTTTTGTTTCATCTTTCTGATGGTTCCTCCTATTGGTTTTAATTTTTACTTACAACTTCACTAATGTGAAAATATGTTTAATGGGTATGTAAATGTAAAGCCTATATCAGATTGTGTGCTGTCTTGGGGAGGGTGGGGGGGAGGAAGGGGGAGAAAAATTTTCAACTCAAAAGCATATGGAAGTGAT